GGAACAACAAGTGATCCAAATCGGTGGTGAGGAGGGTGTAGGAGGCCTGGTGGGGCGTAATCAAGGGTAATGTAACCAAGGTTATTGCAACTGGAATCCATATGAAGGCTGAGCAGGATAGTGGGACAGGAGGAAAGTAAAAGGAAATAGAGGAAAGATCTAGGAGGCAAAGGGCATTTATAGAGGTCTAAATAAAGGCATGTACATATGTAAACGTATTTATATATAAGGATGTAGAAATAGATCTATGTGCATATATTTATAGGTTTAGTAGTAAGGTCCCAGATGGACATTGGGCCTCCACGCAAGTATTCCCTCAAAGCAAGGACACTGTGTTCTATTAAACTGGCATTGCAAAATGCTCACATTCCCGACACGATCACTAAAGACAAATGGGTGCATAAGCAAATGTGGTGAAGAAAGTTGATGGTGCCCGGCTATCAAAAGATATAGCATTTGGATTTTAAAGCAGGGGTCCTCAAACTACGGCCCACAGGCCACATGCAGCGCGCCAAGGACATTTATCCAGCCCGCCAGGTGTTTTTGCCCCGTTTGGTTTTTCACTTCAAAATAAGATATGTGCAGTGTGTGTAGGAATTTGTTCATAGTTTTTTTTAAACTATACTCTGGCCCTCCAATGGGTCTGAGGGACAGTGAACTGGCCCCGTTTAAAAATTATGAGGACCCCTGTTCAAGGCTTGAAGGTAAACAAGCAGCCATCTAGCTCAGAAGCAACAAAGCCCACAGGGAAGAAGCACCCCAGCCTGTGTGATCATGAGATGAGGTATCAGGCATCGAAGAACAAAAAATCATATTGTGAATGAGGGGAGTGCGGAGCGGGGACCCAAAGCCCATCTGTCGGCAACTGGACATCCCATTCTGGAATGGTTGTGGGGAGGAGAAGTGTAGCAACGATGAAACATACAACTTTCCTCTAGTTCTTAAATGCTTCCTCCCACCACCACCCTGCCCCCAACTATCATGATTCCAATTCTACCTTATAAATCTGGCTAGACCAGAGGATGTACACTGGTACAGACAGGAACTGGAAACACAGGGAATCCAGGACATATGATCGCTTCAGGACCAGTGGTGAGAGTGGTGATACCGGGAGGGTGGAGGGAAGGCGGGGTGTAAAGGGGAAGCCAATTACAGGGATCTACATATAACCTCCTCCCTGGGAAACAGAAAACAGAAAAGTGGGTGAAGGGAGGTGTCAAACAGTGTAAGATATGATAATTTTATGATAAATTTATCACCATTGTAAACCATTATCAATGGTTCATGAAGGAGGGGGGAGCAGGGAAAAACGAGGAGCTGATGCCAGGGGTTTACATGGAGAGCAGGTGTTTTGAGAATGATGAGGGTAACGAATGTACAAATGTGCTTTATACAATTGATGTATGTATGGATTGTGATAAGAGTTGTATGAGCCCCCAATAAAATGATTTAAAAAAAAGAAAGAAACCGCTAGGTTTTATCCTAGAATCAAAACTACTACTCACTGTCATCACGTCAAGGCCAACTCACAGTGACCCCGTGAGACAGTGTAGAACGATCCCTGTGTGTTACTGGGAATACGAAGCCCCATAGGTCTCCCTGGGAGTGGGCTAGTGGTTTTGAACTTCTGACCTTGCAGTTAGCAGTCCAACGCTTAACCACTACACTACCGGGGCTCCTCGAAAATACCACTGATCCTGTTAAAACATACCCCCTGTTAATACTACTGACTCACCAAGGAATAGCTGAAACATTCAACTCAAAAACTGGAGAAGTAAATACAAAGATATAGTCTCGGATTTAGAAACTTAGGAAAACATTTTTAAATGTAATTATGTAGAGATTATCAATTTCTTTGGTATTCTTTGTATCTCTATGTAGTGGGATGCTGGGAAAGAAGGCATAAAATTGCTCAAAACCAGATCCCTCATCATTTAGTCACATCCCTTAATGATCATCAGCTGTGTTTTTAATACGATACCTAAAATATCTAATAAATGATTTGCCTTACCTTTTGCAGACACATATCAGCTATTATGGACAGCGGTATCGTAAGGCTTAGTGCAAGTGTGCCTATCAAGGATGAGGTAAGAAAGCAGCCCCTAAAAAAAGAGAAAAAGATAGGAAAAGAAGAAAATAACATTTCATATTTTAAAAAATTAAAAGGCCCCCAAAAGAAGTGAAACAATAAAAACACCACCAAAGACTGTCCTAAAATAAACGTTTGAAAGCTCAAGAGCAAAGTTAAAAGCTTAACATAGCCTGAAACACGCTAAAATTATCAAGATTGTTTTAAATCTTCTCTTCCAGTATTAAAAATTCAAATGAAAGTCCAAAGGACTCCATTCTGCTTTCAACATGAGTTGATTTTATTCAGTTTTACATTGTATTCAGTTTTATTTCAACAAAGTTTTATGAAATACCACTCAATAATATTTATAGTTTTGTGATATTTAGCTAACAAAGGTTTCTTTAAATCAAAGGACAATCACTCAGAACCTTAAGAAATTGATGAGCCAACATGAATCTACCATCAAGGAGTAATTCCCCCTCATTAAAACTAAAATTGTCTTTAAATGTGCTTTTCTTTGGTTTTCCTTAGCATAGGAAAGAAAGAACAATATTTTTAAAGGACATTTCCTGTTGACCTCCATTTTTTCAGCAACTGTCCTAACTAATAGCTAAGTTCTTCATTTTAATTTTTCCCTGGACTATCAACGTTGATTATCAAATTTTAGAAAAGCAATCTGCATTTAATTTTAGTTCAACTTGAGGGAAAATATACCAAACAGAAACAGATAAGCTATTTAATAATTTTTATCTATAAGAATTTTTAAAAGGCCTACAATGAAGCCATAATACATATACCATACATACTCGAGTATAAGCTAACCCAAATATCAGCCGAGGCACTTAATTTTACCACAAAAACTGCATTAAAAATGTGCTGAAAAACTTGGCTTATACATGAGTATATACGGTAATTAAAAACAATGACCCACAGAAGTTATAGGTAAATAAATTTTAATATGTTGGAATTAATAATGCTGCCTTTGCAGCAAATGGGAATATCCCCATAAAATGTCAGTAGAAATTTTCTGTAGAGGCTGGACAATTTGTTGTACTAAAAGGTTTAAGATATATTGCTCTCACTGCCACCGAGTCAATTCCGACTATAGGGTTGTGATGAGAAAATATATTTATATGCTTCTTACATTTGCTCTGGATTATAAACATCACCCAGATTTGAGGCATATAATGTTTAATTAATTTGATTAACCTACTGGTAATAAACTATTAGAAGTGCTGGTGGCATTGTTGGGCACATGTTAGACTACTAACTCCAATGTCTGGGGTTCAAACCCTCCAGCCGGAGAAAGATGAGGCTATGTGCTTCTGTATGGATTTACAGCTTAGGAAACTCTGTACTGTAGAGCAGCGGTTCTCAACCTGTGGGTTGCGACCTCTTTGGGGGTCGAACGACCCCTTCACAGGGGTCGCCCGATTCATAACAATAGCAAAATTAGATATGAAGTAGCAATGAAAATAATTTTATGGATGGGGAGTCACTACAACATGAGGCGCTGTACGAAAGGGTCGAGGCGCGAGGAAGGTTGAGAACCACTGCTCGAGAGGCTATAGGGTCACTGTGACTCAGAATCAACTCAAAGGCAGTGGGCTCGGCTTAATGAACTATTAGAGATCCCTGGGTGGCACAGTCAAGTTCTTGACTACTACTGTGTATAGAGGTATATGTGAAAAATACAGCTTTTCAAAGTTGTGAAAAATCCATCCTAAGTAAGGATAAATAGAGCCATGATCATATGCATGGCTTTGAGGGTCCAAATTCATCTATTCAATAATAAATACCCATATACACAGTAGGAAATATAAATTATGTTCCTTTTTATAGACTATTTTGTAATTATATACCAAAATTTAGAGTGCACTGTTTGGACCCAGTCTATATATAATTTAAAAAAAACTAAAAGGCCCCCTTGAGAAATGAAAATATATTTATCATATTGCTATATTGTACAAGAGCACTTCTATATGCGAAGACATATAAAAAATGTTTGATGACATAGTATTTACAAAGAAAAATATTGGAAACATGAAATGTATCTTAAAAACATCTAGTTAAATGTAGCCACTGTTACATAATAGATTGAAATTCTTTGTAGCCTTTTTTAAAAAAATGAGTTGAACCTAAGTGCTGATACATAATCTCCTATACACAAAAGACAAGTTATGAATAATGTACAGAACAATCCATAAAATATTGTTTTGTATATTAAAAGTTAAAATATTTGAGGAAAAACTCAAGGCAGCAACACACTTTTGTGGGTATCAAAAATGTTTAGGAGTTAATAGTAGTTACCTTTGGAAAAAGGACTGAAAATTTTGGAGAAGGGAGATTTCTTTGTCTTATTAACGCTTTTGTGCTTACTTTGACAGGTACTAATCTTTTATATTTAAAAAAGCTAAATAAAAGAGAAATTATTTCAATATGGCATTATATAATTTCTTTAAGAATACAAATCTCTGGGGTGCATACTCAAAAAGCTCATATGATAGAGATTAGATGTATAGCACACTCATATTCAATAGTCTCCAAACAGCCACATTACATTCTGCTGAAAATAGAGAAATTCTATTGTTTCCATAAATAATTAGTTATTGATATTTGTAGATAAAACAGTAAACATACATAGCTATTCTCAATAATAAGGACCATATTAAACCCTTCTCTGGTCTAACATCCAAAAAGAAATTGAAGTATTTCTTTAAAATACATAACTCTTTAAAAGTTTTGTTATTTCAACTAAACTCAGAAAACTAGAGACTATGAAGTTGTCTTAAAATAATAATGAATGCATAATTATTTTCAATTAGCTATGAATAGGTTAAACCATATTGCTGTCAGAAATGATTGACGGTCAACAATTTTTCATGGCTTAACTAAATTCAATCAAAATGCTTAAATTCCTACCTACTAAGTAGTTATCACTGCCCAGAACCAAGAAGGAAAAAAAGAAAAGGAAAAAAAAATCACAGCAGAAGAGAACGTAAGGTTACAAAATAGACATTAATAAGTGAAATATAATAGTTAACTTCCTTACTGGTTAAAAAAGGAGCGCCTATAAATGCAATGAAGACAGAAAATCAATGAGATACCAGATTCTGATGCTACAGAGTTTTAGTTTAGAAATACACATGAATACAAGTTAAACAGAAGAGTAGTCCCCGAAAAGGAAAGCCGGGAGAAAACTCAGAAATGAAGGATATTCCCTCCACTTAAAATGAGGGAGGAGTGTGGATGGACTTTATGGAGAAAGTCTAGAAAGCTTCATAGATGTTATTTTGCCGTAGACTTTCGCAAGAGAAAAAACATCAGTCTTAACTGAAATGAAATAAAACTCAATTGGGAGTTTAAGTACAATTTACCTTTCTTTTTCAGTTTTTAGTACTTGAAAACAAGATTAAGTATAAAAATCTATAAGGAAAAAAAATCTTTGAAACTCCATAGATGATATTGCCTTTAAGCTATTTTCAGATTATTGTCACAGTGACTTTAAAATTATATTACCATCTCAAAATTAGAGTCTGTATAGCCAGCTCACCCATAAGAAAGGTACTGAGAGAATAAACAATAGAAAAAGAGCCTGTGAACCAAACAGGTCTTCTTTAAGAGTCCAGACTCTTTAGACAAGTCCCCCAGATTCTCACTTAGAGTCATGTTGGGATACACACGTCTAATAAGTTTAGATGTCCACTAAGTAATCATTCCTTTCATTTGCAAAACACTCCACCTTCTAAAACGCTTTAAAAAATGTGTATGATCCCCTGTCATTCATTCATTCAACAACAGCTTACTGAGCTTCTCCTCTGGGTGAGGCATTGTTCTAGACAGTGGCCCATGTCAGTGAAAGCCAGACAAACAAGGAGGAAAGGAAAACCAGCCCGTTCCTGTCTTACTGGAGAAGAATCTCACCTATTTCTAAGTGTGGCCGGTAGGTAGACAGGTACACCCGAGGGGTCATCAGAAGACAAGAAATCTAAATGCTTACACTATTCAGGTTTCTAACGGAAACTAAGAAATCCAAGGACAATAAACAGTACATACCACAACCACAGGAACTCTGAGAGAACGGTTCCAATAAGGCCATTAATGATAATGCACATTAATACTACTTTATTGGGAAACTCAAAGTCCTCAAATCCAGTATAATGAAGTAAAAAGAAACCTGGCCACAAGAGCAGCAGATTAAACAGACCTACAAAACCTAAATATATATAAAAGAAAAGAAAAAATGTTAGTAATTATGATCTCAATTTCCCAAACTTACAATTATCAATATGATATGGAAACATTTAATTTTGCACAAATAACTCCAACATGTTTTTGTAATTGTAATTTGTTTGTTTCTAAGTTAATCTCACAAACACTTCAATACCAAAAAAAAACTATCAAACAGCTGGAGATGACTGCATATTTGCATTGTATAGATCAACTACTGTGGAAAAAAACCACCAAACAATTCAAAAAGAAGGGTTGTTAACCTTAGCTATGATTAATATAGTGTACTAGAATTTAAAAGACACAAATGTTAGTTGCATATGTTGTATATTAACCTTAGTTATAGGAAAATGGTTCTGTCTCTTTCTCTCCCCTTCAATCCAGTTGGGCGGCTACCTGCAAAGTCAGCAGTTCGAAACCACTAGCCGCTCCAAAGGAGAAACAGAAAAAAAGTCTACCGTGTACCATAGGGTTGCTGAGTTGGAACTGACTTCATGGTAATGAGTTCAGTTGTTGTTTATTCTAGGAATAATAGAGGAAGGGTCACTGCAAAAAAGATAGGTTCTTGTTTTCCACCTTCCCAGAGCTTATAAACTAGTTGGTGAGCTAACACACACTCACAAATAGCTAGTCAGCCCATCAAACACAACCTGGCTGCTTGAAGGCTACCAAGTGAAAGGATTGCATCTGCTTTGCATTCTGACACTGCTGGGTTCCAGTTCCAGTGCTGCTACTCGAGTGCTGCGACTTCAGTCAAGATACAGAATCCTGAAGCTTTAACGCTCAGTTGTGAACATGCTTCATCTAGCACAAACCGGCACATGGATGAACTGGAAACCAAGTACAGGACTTTTTGACTGATCCCTATACATACACACATATATAGTAGCACGTTTATTTTCTATTTGCTATGACACCTAATAAAAAAGTAGGATTTCGTGTGTTTAGTTAGGGGGCTTACGGGGGCTGGAGCACTGGCTCCCTATCTGTTGCTAAACAGTTACAACCACCCCTCTTCCTTGAAGAACTGTCCTTACAGAAGAGACAACTCTACCCTTCCAATGAAGGGCTCCCAGCCCACAGGCTCTGCTGCCATGACGGACGGGGATTTACAAGGTGTGCAGTTAGGGCTCACAGCAACAATGGTGTCCGTGCTCCCCGACTGCCATGAGTTGAGTCAACTCTCCGCTTTACCTGAAACCACGGGGTTCTTCACTCGCTCACTGCCCAGTTTTTCCTGCACAGCACCCCTCAATAAACCACCAAAGAGCATCCCTGTCTTACACTCCACGTCTAAATAAAACCAAAAGGCCATCACCATGAAGGCAATTCTGACCCAAAGTGACTCCATTGGGCAGAGAACAGCCCGATGGGATTTACCAGGCTGTGATCTTGATGGGAACAGACTGCCATTGGTGGGTTTGAACCAATAGCATTTGGGTTAGCAGCCAGGCTCCTAACCACAAAGCCATGAGGTAGTCCAAATGAAGACATCCAATCAGAACAAAAATGAAAAAAAGCACATACATACAAGACCTCAAGCAGTTAGACTAGCATCACAAATTATTCCAATCTATTTGGCAAATAATTTAGCAAATCTATTTTGAACTGAAATCCCATGATAAATTAACAACTTGCCAGATAGCGTTCCTTACTCCTTAGGAAGGTGCCAATGGCTTCCCCCACTCTTCAGGCTGTGAGAACCAGAGCACACACCTTCCTGTTCTCGTCTTCGGCACATTTGCTCAAGATCACCTGCTATGCCTCTGCCCATATTTCTTTACCCCCAATAGTCCAATCCAAACTTCTTATCCAAATCCTGTCTTATTCTACAGCCCAAGACAAATCAATTTTACTTTACATCCCACATCATTCCACATGCACGCTCTCATAAGACTGAATTAATAAACTTTTCTCAGAGTTACTGATGTTGAAAACTCACAGTGACCAGATAGGACCAAGTAGAACTAAGTCAAGCAAACTGTCATATCTTTCTATCACAGAGCCCATGATAAGTTTGAACCTGATCTTTTAGTTAGCAACCTAGGGGATGGGAATGAATTGAATGTTTAAAAAGAAAAAAGGTGTCAATGTCCCTGTGGGTTTCCAAGAGTGTAAATCTTTCCAGGAGCGGAGCACCTCCTGTTTCTCCTGTGAAGCAGTTGGTGTGTTTGAATGACTGCTCTGTTAGCAGCCCGGCGCTTATCCCACAGTGCCACTAGGGCACCGTTATGTATGAAAAGAACAGCAGCATTTCATTTAATTCACGGTGGAATGTTTTATGATTCTACAATTAAAAATCATTAGAAGTATCACTTTTACAGAGAGATTTATTGAATTCTATACCAGCAATGATAAGCCAGTCTAGTGAGTACACAAATATTTTAATTTGTTAATCTTCAGTGAAAGGTATTCAAACTATTTATAACAGAAAACCATGGCTTTACAAGTAGCAGAGGGGTCCAAGAACCAAGCTTACACATGGAGCATGGACTCTTCCCAAAATCCTAGAGCATTCTCAGAAGTCATAACCGTTAGAATTCAGGTCTCCTGATTCCTTAAAAGTTGCACTTTGAACTCTTATAAGTAGGCTTCTTTTCTCTCCTTCTGTACCTTCTCTAAGTATCTCCTCAATGTGCCCTTTCCTTACAATCCTACAGAAAGCACAAGCTCTTCCATGAGATGATTTTAGGCAAAGGGGTACTTATAAATCATAGCAAAGTCTAAGAATGGATGCCAGAACCTATCATTGAATAATCTGAAAAACATCCATGCCCTAAAAGAACTCAACTTGCTAATGGGATAACTTTGAACGGCCCCAGAGTTTTCGATGTTAAAAAAGAAAAAAAACCACACAGGGTAGAACAGACACACACACAAAACACACACACACCGTGAGGATGGCACAGCACCGGGCAGTGTTTTGCTCTGCTGTACACAGGGTCGCTCTGAGTTGGAAATGACCCAACAGCACCTGACAACAACAACAACAAATATACACACATAGACATGTATGTATGTGCATATAATTTGGGAGTAGTTTCCTCTATCCCAGGCTTCAAGCAATAGTCCTGATGGCAAAGTAAGTAAAGCACTGGGCTAAAAGGTGAGTGGTTCACACCCCCCAGATGCTCCTCAGGAGAAAACTGAGGGAGTCTGTAGTCTTAGAGTCTTGCAGGGCCATGCGCTGGCACCGACTTGATGGAAGTGAACGGTCTCTGAGTGGACCCTATGAAGCAGGTCTACCCTGTTCAGTAGTGTCACTGTGAGTCGGAATCAGCCTGATGGCAGTGCATTATGCATCAAACAAATGAAAATGGCAAAACCGTAACCCAGGAGGTGTACTTGCCCATGCCGCTAACAGTTCAATTCTGTTGTATCAGTGACAAATACATGGCTCACAAGGTGAAAACTTTGCTGCGGTTAGGAGTTTTCCGACTTGCGGTGGGGATTGTGCATTCCCTCATAGGAGGCGCACAGGCAGGTCACAGACAGAGAAAGAGCCAGATTGAACGTCAGACCCTGAAGGTCGATTCCATCCCTACACTCCTAGACTTTAATGATAGATTTCCATGGGACAAGAAATATTTCTCTCTGAGCTTCTCCCCCATCCCCCCCAAAAGATAAGTTAATCATTTAGAGTAAAAACCTCACAAAAGAAACATATTCTTACCAAAGAACATTGGAATATCCAATTTATCTTCTCTGTCTACTTTTCTCTTAATCATAACAATATAGACAGCATAGAGCATGGCGCCAACAAGAGACCACATGGAACCTATAAAAGTCAACAGAATATTTAAAGAATTCCATTCATTAACTCGTTCAACATATACTTAAGATCTAATTACGTGAGAGATATGATTCTAAGTAGTAAGAATATAAAAACAGAAAACAGTGAGATGCACTCCATCCCATCCATGTCCTCCAGGAGTTAGAAAGGTGCTCACAGTGCAACAAATCAGAGGGAAAGGCACCTCAGGGCTCTAGCCAAACACTCAGGGCTAAGCCGAAACACCTACATTTGTAATCTCCTGTTTTTTACATTTTGAAATGTGCATTTGTTTTTCCCACAAAGACAATTTTGACAGGTGACAGAATCCAACTGAAGAATGCTTCTTTCCCTCTCTGAAGTGCTGTTTCCATTGTTCTCCCCGTCTACCTAGGACGCTCTCCCTGCATCATCGTTTTTGTAATAAACGCATTTTTCTATTGCGAATTAGGTGAGGAGTTTACATTTCAGACTCTGCTTTCAACAATTCAAACAACTCATCAACCCCCAAATCATTTTCTAATATATATTTCACCATCGTCATTCCCACCGCTATGTCTTCTCTGTACTCCGTTGAATTTCTACCTAATTTGCCTTATGTTTTACACAGTCAGTACCATAATTACTATGGTTGTAGATGGTATTGTTCTATTCTTCAGTTGCTTCATTTTGTAAGCCCCATATATTGATAAAAATTAAGAATGCCTTGTAAACGTCAAACACAAAACGATTGCCACCTTTGAACTCTCTATAATATCCAACGATAATGCTGGGTTCACAATCCATGAATGACAAGCACGGTTTCTCTTTAATTCATGTTTCACTCTCAAATACATTTAAATAAGGGTTCAAAACAGCCAAATACATTTTTAGGGCAGGGAAATTATTTTATGATACAGTAATGATGGACACATTATACTTTTGACAAAACCGTACAAAGGTGTACCATAATGTAAATATGGACTTCTAATTAATATTTAATTCTGTATCAATATAATTTCATGATAATAAATATACCATACGACAGCACATTGTTAGCAACAGGGGAAATTATGGGGAGGGGAGAGGAAGACTATGGATATGAAAACTGCCTGCACTTCTGTGCAACTCTTCCGTAAACTTTTAATATTTTAATCAATTATTCATGCATACAATAGTTTATTCAATTATACATATAAAGCACTGTTAATAAGTACAAAGCGACTCAGAGGAGAGCGATGAGGTCGTTCAAGGAAAAGCTTACCAAACAACAATTAGGAACAGTTTAGAAGACAGGGTTCTAGTCATTAAATTTCATGCATCTTGAGAAACTATGCAGAGGCAAACCATTAAGCTGGGCTCCAATTATCTTTACTTTTTGTTAAGTCTAAAAGTGAATTAAAAAACGAGGTGCTAACTGTGCAAGAAGCAACAATGAGAGGTAAAATTAGTGCCTCAAAGTAAGATAAAAAAACAGGATATTTTCATAATCTGAATGTATTTCCCCACAAAATATTACTTACAAGGAGAGAAAAATTAGTATGTTACCTGCAGAAACCTGGCAGACACGAACTTAATCAAATGATAAATTTACATCATGAGTACTAAGGCAAATCACTACTACGTGTCCCCTGAAGACATTTGGTCATTTCTAAAGTATTCTTACCAGAGATGTACAGCTTGAATTTAACAATAAGGGAATCTCAAACAAACTGGATGACATTATACAAAACTAATGGACAATACTTCAAAATTGTTGAGTCACGAAAAGTTAAAAAAAAAAAGAAGACTAATGAGCAGTTCCACATTAGAGGAATCAAAGGAGGCATAAAATTAAATACAACAATTGATCCTGAAGCAGAAAAAGAGCATTAGTGGAAAATAGTGACATCTAAGAAGGGTATGTAGATTCTATAATTGTATAATATCAATGTTAATTCCTGATTTTGGTAACTGTACATTAATGATAACAGATGTGAACCTTAGGAAAATCTGGGGGAAGGCAAGATGGAAATTCTTTGAGCTATTTTTGAACTTTGAGCTATTTCAAAGAGGGAGCTGAAACAAGTTCTGTTATTCTGTCAGGGCTGACCCTGTGTGCCCTGAGGGGTGGTGGGGCCTGGGAGTACATATGCGCATAACGTGCACACACCTCTCTTGTATGCAGGCACCCTCTGTATCCAAACCCCCAATGATAGACAATTCCTATTTGCCCTTTACATGAACCTGGCTCTGTCATGGCCAACAAAGTGAAACAGAAACAGACCAGAATTGTTACAAGTTGGATGATGTGTTATGGTCACTAAAATGGGAAAACGTATCAGCTGAAGCTATGGCATGGAAAAATCGGAAGCAGCAGAGGGTGCCTGCCCTTTAAAGAGTGTTGCATGAGCTTGGATTTCTGGCAGGACTACAGAAAGGCTACGCATACATATTCAAAGGGGTGTGGTCAGATGCCATCTTTGAGCGGGGCACTGCTGTTCTGTTTCTGTCTACCAGTTGTTTGTAGCCTGCTTTAATGTTATATAACTTTATCCTCACTTTGAAATGAATGAACCAAACATTCCTAGCTGCGATTTTGTGTCAATATGGCTCCCATAGGAACATGTGGTGGAGTTTAGCCCGTGTCTGTCTGTCTCTCTCTCTCTCTCTCTCTCCTTCACCTTCGTGCTGAAGACCTGCACTTGGAGAGCTGCTGTAGCCACGCCAGAGACCTGCCGGACTCCTGGAGATGCCTCCACCGCCATTTGATTCACAAGACTTTGCACGCACCAGACAGTGATCTTCCTGCATTCTGCATCATTGCATGTGGCTGCAGGAGTGTGAAGAGGCACTTATGGACTAGTGTTGGACTTAGGGACTTGATCTGGACTGGGCTGGGAAGTCTTCTTGGTATACAATTACTTCTTCGTATAAAGTTCTCTCTTACAATTATATGAGTGCCCCTGGATTTGTTTCTCTAGTCCACCCAGCTAACACACTAGCAATAAATTCTTAATCAAAATCACTTTCACTTGCTGTGATACAGCTTTTACATAATTAAAAAGGCTTCAAATATTTTCTTGCACTAAAGTAAGGTTAAGTAAGAACCACACACAACCGTTCTGACCGATCTACAAATTCTTAAAGACACAGGATAGGATTGGCATTCATCCATAGCAGCCTGACAGAGAACGTGAATTTGGGTACTTACCTATTGTATCTCTTCCAGCAGATTTTTCAGATCCTGATAGGTTTACCAACACAACGCCTCCAATACTAGGAGAATAACAATCATTACCGAGAGCATAATAATAAATTCCTTAAAAGGATAATCATAAAAAGAATTTACAGATGATTAAGACTAATCTCAACTTTAGGCAGAACTGGGGAAGAATTTAGTGACTTAATTAACAACAACTAACCACTCTGTGTCAGGCACTATGCTAACAATCCAGAAGAACCAGGGCTGTGGAGCTGATTCTGACCGACAGTGCCAATCCCGGGCTATGATTCAAACACATCATTTAAGCCTCACAAAATGCACACTATTATTACCTCGAAACCCAAACCTCCGAGTTCGCTGCCACAGAGCCAATTCAGACTCACAGTGAATCCCCAGGACAGGGTTTCTGAGATGGCAGACCTTTATGGGAGCAGACAGCCTCATCATCTTTCTCCCACGGACCTTATAAGAAGGTACAATGATTGTCATTCCCATCTTAGACCCAAGTCCAAAGCGGTGAAGTGACCTGACCAGAATCACACAGCTGGGATTTGAACCCAAGTGTCCTTACACCTGTGCTATCTAGTGCCTCTCCATTGGGAAAGAATTAACCAATTTCTGATCGCCCATCCAGTACTTGTTTTGTGCATACACATAGTAAACATCTTGAATGGCACCACTGATACTTATGGGTGAAAAACAAGTTAGCAATAAAACTATCCTTAGATATTGCCATTAATCCTATTATTTTAATGGGTGAAAATAAAACTGAGCTAAAGATACAGAAAAATTAGAAGCCATGCATCATTAACTATTTGTTAAGCAATGATTTATATCAGTTATCAAAACAGGTATGTTTACTGTCCTCATGAAACGTAAATTGTTTTCCTATTTATATGCATCGTATAAACTGTATATGTATCTTATCAAGCAGATGAAATATTGCCAACTTCCAAAATCAGTCTACTTTTCTCTCTTACTGATCAGAAAGACTGGTATAGCTGATGGCGGGTGAGGAATATGATAAATTAAAAATCCCCTTCCTCTGGAATTATGCTCTCACAAGTCACATCCAGTGCTTATATTAAATATTCATGCCCTTCAATCCAATCATAACTTTCTATAATCGTTCAAATTCAGATTTCGCTATCATTTTATTGAGCACTCACAACCTACTAAAAATTAGTTGCATCATTTTATCACCTTACATTGTGTTTTAGTATGCTTACAATAATTCTAAGAAGTTGTAAACATGCTTAATATATATAACAATAGCAATAATGATGACTAATAAATACTGAACACATGTTGTATACCGTCCCTTTTTCAAGGCACAGAGAAGTACGCAGTCTGCGCAAGATCCTAAAACTAGCCATGATGGAGGCGAAACTCTAAAGAGCGTGGCTCCTGGTCACACGCTTAAGCACTCTATTGTCTTTCAACCGCAAAATGGGATTTCTTGACTTATCAGCCACGGTGGTTACTTAGACTAAATCCCTTTTCTAAACTCAGAAATGGGAACTTACTGTGCAAGGCCAATTCAAAACAAGGTATTTAAACATTGTTTTTAAAAAGCATTCTTTTTTTTAATTAAAAATAAATAGATAAAAGCATTCTTAAGAACATATACCTCCACAAAAATATTTTTATATCACGAGTCAAGCAAACTTTTCTTGAAATAGACAATGAGTAACTAGTTTAGGCTTGTGGGTCTCTTTCACAGCTCAACTCTGCCGCTGCAGCACTAAAGAAGGATAAGAATGGTCGTGTTCCAATAAAAGTTTCTTAACAAAAACTGGCAGCTGAACCACCAAAATCCGTTGGTACCTGTTCTAGGCCTACTGCAATGAGAACGAGTAATGCCAAGTTCAATCACTGCATGTTCAACATTGACAACCACTACTTTATCTACTAAGATGCTGGGAAGACAAGTCGGAAAGAAGCACATTTGTGTGTGAAGAGTAAATCTCAGTCACTCCCTAATACAAACACATGGTATTTCCCAGTGCAAAACCATGTTCAGTGGACACGTAAGCCAGCCATGCACAAGAATCGACTGTGGCCCTAAAGTCTATGTAAAGTGAGTGGAGTCAACTAGTCTGCCCACTGAAAATTCCAATAGCAACTTGCCCTTTCACCTATCACATAACAAAGGCAGTAGTCCTCACCGCATCCCAAACCTGCAGCATGACCAGCTAGTGCTGATCCACCACAGCGAGAGCTCCTAGAACCCGAAGAACCACTTCGGCAGCTGGTATGGCGCCAAACTGAGTCTGGGGGTCATGAGGAGGCGAAGCGCAGAACAGGCACTGTGAGATGCTTGCTACGGGTTTGGCATCCGCTTAATTCACCTCCGAGCAGAAGAGAGCAGCCGGCCCCCCTGGGTGGTGCAGGATGTAGTGACTTGGCACCTCATTGAGGGGCTCTTGGGGGTGGGGTGGAGGTGCCGATAGGTCAGTCTGGGCACTCGAATCACTCCAGTGGAAGAGGAACACAACCCATGTAGTGATTTACAATCAGTTTCTTCCCCAACCCTGGAAGGCTGAGCTCAACCCCAAATGCTTACATGCTACATCGTCACAACATATACATGTCTATATAAATAGAACATAGCAAAAACCCTGCTGGGGAGTCTAGGGGCAGCTGAAATGCCACATGCGCCCATCCAAACATAAGCAGTCCTCTCACCCCGTGGAACAGGCTCCCTGGCGGCTAAGGAGCAGGAGTCCATTCTACTGTGTGTTTTAGAACCCTTCTCTGACCTTTCTGTGAAAAACCTGTTGATCGTGTCCACATGAGCCTTTTCACTGTGATTTCTGCATCATGTTTCAGCTGCCTGCTTCTGCTACTTGGCTCCAGTGTACTTGGCTTGAGAGCTTGAAACATAACTATACTTCTTTCCAGATCTATATAATGAAGCAGTGCTATATAAATATACATAGATACATAAACAAACATAAGAACTATCAATTATATGACGGCCATGTACAATAGTCACTTGGCAGGCATTATTTGCAAACTGTCAAAGTAGGTTTAACTATCTACTCTTTCAACTAGAAACTTCTCTCCAAGCCCAGCTCTGATAGGTAAAAATCCTACTTTCTCTATAAAATCGTTCTGCTAACTTCTCTGATTCCTTCTTTTCTCTCACAAAAACCGCCACTCTCTGAAATTAACACATCTGTGTGTTAGCATTGTCTATGGGCAAAGTCCTATGTTGGGCCTTTGGCAAGATAAGCAATGCCTTGAACTTTAACCCATGTATAATTCATCCAGGAAGACAATTCAAACACACACAATTTTAAATAAAAACAAAGGACTGACATACAGCTATTTACAATATGGATGCCAACTTAAAACAAAAAAGAAAAGCGAACTGAATTATACACAAAATAAAAAACCCACAAGCAAAATACACTACAGGCTGAGACCATCTAAAGACTGGAGTATTCCTAGGCAAAATAGAGAATATGATTTTAGAAATTAAAACATAAATTAAAAACAGGGAACTTTTCTTAGGAAAAGGAAACACACGTTAAAGGTTATGAGAATTATATATAAAGTGCATCTAAGTGGCCTGTGGACTGTGACCATGGCACAGGAGTAAGCCTGTCGGCATTGTGTAACTAGGAACCAAGTGGCCTATGGACTGTGACCATGGCACAGGAGTAAGCCTGTCGGCATTGTGTAACCAGGAACCAAGTGGCCT